TTTTTTTTGTCTTGTTATGCCTGTTACATATGAGGGGCGGAGCCTTAGGTGTTCACCAGGGTGGAGCAACCTATGTTGCTGGGTTGTGATGCTATATGTGGGGGTGGGGTCCAAGAGGGAACAATGGCACCTGCTCTGCTTTCTGTCAGATTTCAATCCCTTCCCCTACTTCAGCCAAGCAAACTGGGCCTTTATGGTGCTAATTCCTGTGTGGGTGGGCTTGTGTACATTATAGAACCTTGTGGGTCTCTCCAACAAACTCTCCTGAGAGGCTGGGAGTCTCTCCATGTGCCTGAACCCCTACAGGTGTTTTCAATCAGCATTTTGATGCTTTATTTCCCTGAGCTGGGGCCCTGGGCTGTGCAGTCTGTCTTGCTCCCCAATTTCACCTGGTTTGTCTGAGCACGAATGGTGCTCGACTCTGTCTGGCCACCCAACTCCCCCTCTCCTACCAACTGGATGAATGTGTCTACTTTAACTCCTTGGTTGTCAGACTTCCATACAGTTCAATTTTCTGTCAATTCTGGGTTTTTTTGTTTGTTTGTTTCTAAGTTTTTGTTGTCCTTAATTTGGTGGTGCAAGGAGGCACAGTAAGTCTACCTACACCTCCATCTTGACTGAAAGTCTAATTCTTATTCTTATTCTTATGTGAACAATAATAATTATTTTTGCAGCTTCATTGGGTTCACATGTAACATGCTCCTCGTAGGTGATGGCACATCTTAAGTGCTCATGAACATTAGCTACCTTATTTTCTCCTTAGAAAATAAGTCCTTAAGGTTCAAGGACTAATGCATTAATGCCCTCACTTAATCCTTGAAACTTCTCCTGATCCAGAGCCCATGGAGAAGAAAGCAGCCTGCCCAAACAAGGGATTATTATTTTTTAATTTTTTAAACATGTTTAAAAGATGTCATTTTATTATATTTTTTATTGTTGTTCAAGTACATTTGTCTCCATTTTCACCCCACAACCCTGACCCCAGCCATTCCTGCCTTCCACCCTCAAATCTACCCCCTTTGACTTCATCCATGTGTCCTTTATACACATTCCTTGATGCTCTTCCCTATTATCCCCTATTATCCCTCTCCCCGCTCCTCTCTAGTTACTGTCAGTTTGTTCTTTATTTCAATGTCTCTGGTTGTATTTTGCTTGCTTGTTTGTTTTGTTGAAATGAGTGGATAAAAAACTGTGATACATTTACACAATGGAACACTATGCAGCAGAAAGAAAGAAGGAGCTCCTACCCTTCTTGACAGCATGGATGCAGCTGGAAAGCATTATGTTAAGTGAAATAAGCCAGGCAGTGAAAGAGAAATACTGTTACAGAACAGACCCACACACAGGGCCAAGGGGGGGCACACTGATATACTGTTACTGAAAGGAACCCCTCCCCAGGTTCGTTATGTCCACCGCCTTATAGGAAAGACATCTCTCAGTGCCAGAGATTTGGGAAAAGAAAAGGAAATGTTTATTTAATGCTATACAGACTTCAAGTAGTGACCTTATGTCTTCATCAAAATCCCAAAGTCCCTTAAAACACCCACAAACACACACAGTCCTTCCTTCCCCCCTTTGCCCAATCTGGGGTACCATATCTCAGGAAAAGAAATAGAAGTCCATGCCTCAGGCAGCCCCCAGTTCTTCCCAGTAATCTGTGCTTGGCTGGTAGGCCTCCCTCGGTTCCCAGAACCATCAGCTTGTCACTGAGATCTCCAGCTAAAACCAAGTGGTAGTTCTCTGCTAAAGCCGGGTGGTGGTTCCCCCTACTAAAGCTGTGGGGGTCCCCACTCTGGCAAAGCTGCATGGCTCTCTTACATGGCCACAGCTGCATGGCTCTCCTTTCTATTGCCACAGCCACATGGTTCTCTGCACTGCCACAGCCGCGTGGTTCTCCCTCCTCAATGGCCACAGCCACATGGTTCTCCCTCCATAATGGCAGCGAGGAGGGGGTTGCCACTCTGCCAAAGCCAAGTGGCGGTTCTCTGCTAAAGCCACATGGTGAATCTCTCTCACAGGGTTGCAGGAGTCCCCACTCTGCTAAAGACTAAGTGGTTCTCTCCTTAATGGCTGCCACGTCTGGGTTTAAATCCCTGTGTCAATCCTCCTCTGCAGCCCCATTTCTGACTCCTCCCACAATTGGCTATACTGGCCAGCACTCTCATATCCTTCCAGCTTTACTGGGCTGCCATAGTGGGTTTGGGCAGGTGTGGCCCCATGGCGTGGAGCCAATCATCTCCAAGCTCTCACACAGGTACTATAAACAGGGAGAGTTGCCTCCCAGTTATATGTTGGGTGGAAGTCATTCCCTTTTCCCTGGCTCAAAGCATGGCCACAGCTATTCATCGTATCTATGAAACCAGTTACAGGTTATAGATATGGTAAATGACCATACCAGAGGTTAGCTGCAAAGCTGTTGCTATGCAAAGCAGTTCTCAATAGCCCTGCTCCATTTGTCCCTTCCCCCAACTCACACCTGAAGGGGGAAAGGGGTAAGGACATTCTAATATTTCCTGGACACCTTGAGTTTTGGACCCCATTCCAAATCCTTATTTGGGGCCCCCCTCTTGGCTGCACCCTGTTACAATACGATATGATTTCACCTATAAGTGGAACCTAATCAACCAAACAAGATATTATTGATGATATCCTGTGGCCTTTCCAGTGCTTCTAGCCGTATCACTTCTGGACTAGAGAGAGAATCCCTTCCTCCCTTAACTCATTAAAAATGACCACATGGCACAAGGCATGAGCTAGGGCTGTTTTAGGAAAAACACAGTACTTGGTGGAGATATTTTGTGGCACAAAGAACTACAAACGAGATTTGGGATTAAAAGATTTATAAGATTTAAGAGTAAAACCCATGCTACAGCAGTTATTATGCTGCATGTTGAATCCTTAAAAATGTTATTATTTAACTTTTTGAATCTAGCCATCTTCATGTGTAATTCTCACACCACTGCTGGTAAAGCTCTTTGTGCTTGTAATGACTTAAAAATGATGAATGTTTATCAAGGACTTAAGAACTTATTATGGACAGGCAGCAGCATGATGATCATTGGAACAGCCCTCTGAGGTACATTATAGTCATATACCCACTTGAAGAGGATATTTACCAATTGCCATGGCCCCCAGCTGATGATAAGCAGTTTAAGAGTCCCACTACAGATAATTTTTCTTTATCCTCACACTAAGCATCTACATATGAATGTAACAAGAGCAACTGAAGCCTTTTATGGTTGGAGCCTTAGTCATTGGCACTGTTCTGAGGATGGCACATCATAAACACTTGTAGTTTATTGGTGTATTACTTGACAGATGCTAAGAGTGGTGAGAAGCCACTGATTCAATTTCAGTATTGAAAAAATACTGAATAGTCGAAAGATTAACAATCAGTTTTATTTTATTTTATTTTAAAGATTTTATAAGATTTATAAGATTTTATTTATTTATTTTCACAGAGAGGGGAAGGGAAGAATAAAGAGAGGGAAAAAAACATCAATGTGTGGTTGCCTCTCGAGTGCCCTCTACTGGGGACCTGGCCTGCAACCCAGGCATGTGCCCTGACTAGGAATTGAATCTGCAACCCTTAGGTTGGCAGGTTGGTGCTCAATCCACTGAGCCACACCAGCCAGGGTACATTATTTAATTTTTATATTCTTTTTATTTATGTTCTTTTTCCCACTTCTTTTACAAAGCTAATGGCACTCTGTATGCTGTTTTGCATCTTGCTTTTATAACTTAATGTGTTTTTGAACATATTAAGTTATATGTTCAAAACTCCTTCCATTACTTTACTTAAAAAGTTTCCTCATTCATTTTTTAAAAGATTTTATTCATTTATTTTTAAAGAGAGGGGAAAAGAGGGGAAAAGAAAGGGAGAGAAACATTGATAGGTTGCCTCTTGCACATGCCCTGACCGGGGAGCCAACCCACAAAGCAGTCATGTGCCTTGAATGGGAACCTAACCAGCAAACTTTTTGTTTATGGGAGGATGCTCTAACCAGCTGAGCCACATGGGTCAGGGCTTAATATTTTATTTGATGATGAATGTTTGTGGTGTTTCCAATACTTTGCTATTCAAACAATACTTCATTTAATAATTTTGAACATCATTTCACATGTTGCTATATGTCTATTGGGGGGATTTTTATAAGTGGGCTTCTGAGGCTAAGAGGGTTACACCCTCACCAGCAATGTATGAAAGCTCTTGTTTTCCCCTAGCCTGGCCAATAGGCAATTAGTTATGAAATCTTTGGCCATTTGATAGCTGAGAAATTGTGCATTTACCATGTGTGAGAGATTGAGAATCTTTTTAGAATTTTAATAGCTACTTTCATTTTTTGTCAATATCCTTTGATGGTATGAATTTATTAAAGTCACTCAATTTGCACCCTGGCTGGTGAGCTCAGTTGGAGGGTCGTCTCCTAAATGGAAAGGTCTCACTGAGATTCCCTCAACAGATGAATGTTTTTATCTCTCCCCCACCCCCCTGAATCAATAAGCATGTCCTCTGGTGAGTATAAAAAAATTTTTAATTTAATTTAAAAAACTCATTCAAGCTACAAATTCCTCCAAATGTTTCCTCATGAGAAGCCATCAGATAGACTTTCTTTCTTTACAGATTTTTTTTTTACAGAGTGGGAAGAGAGACAGCAAGATCATTTGTTATTCCCCTTATTTATGCATTCATTGGTTGATTCTTATAGTGCCCAGACCAGATAGAACCTGCAATCTTAGCTATCAGGAAAATGCTCTAACCAGTTGAACTACCCAGCCAGAGATAGAAATGGACTTTCTGAGTCGGAGTTTGCACTTTTTAAGTTATCTCTCAATGTTACCAATTAACCTTTCAGAAGGAAGCTCCTCAAGAACAGTCCCTCCACAGCTCCGCCCCCAGCCATCTCCCTTCATCATCATTGGCTCCCAGGGTCATCACCCTCCCAGCCGTGGGCCCCGCCTTCCCCCAGCACGTCTCCTTACGTGACGCCAGGGCGGACGGAAAAGGGGCGGTTGCTGTAGTTGCTCCGGGCTGCTGAGGCTGGCTAGTCCGCTCATGGCTGACTTCTGCAGAATGAAGCACCCTGCGGCGTGGTGACGCAGGCCTAGAGGAAGGTACACACAAGACCTGCACGTTGTCCCCAGCTGCACTTGCTTGCCAGCCACGCTTGCCGGCAACCCAGTCGCTAAGCAGCCGTGTTTGGGCACTGGAGGCGGAGCAGGCGATGGACCAATATTGCATCCTGGGCCGGATCGGGGAGGGCGCACACGGCATTGTCTTTAAGGCCAAGCATGTAGAGGTGAGCCCCACCGACCGCGGGGCTGCAGGGGCCTTCCTTCTTGGGTTTCATTCATTTCTTTTTGTGAGTTTTGCCCAGTGTCCTGACCCAGGCTAGGACCCTTGTGTCGGCCTCTGGGCCTATTTTCCTCTTTTTGGTATGTGCTCATCACTTTAATCTCTTTAAGGGTTGGGGTAGGGGCGGCCAGGTTGTGGCCAGCTGCCCACCGCCAGTGATGCTACAGTGGTCATCCTGTAAGTGTCCACTAGGAGCATGCAGTGAATGCTTCTGAGCTGTTTGCCCAGTCCTGCGACTACTGAGTCCCAGGCTGGCCATGATTTCCCTCCAGGATTCAGTGGGGGCACTTTCTATCTCCACGAGGGCCTCAGGCCTCTGCGTCGCACCTGGAGGGTACTTTTCTGGTTCCCTCGCTCACCTTTCCCAGTAGAGGATTGGGGTGGCAGTGTCTGCATTCTGTCCCGTACAGACTGGAGAGATCGTTGCCCTCAAGAAGGTGGCCCTGCGGCGGCTGGAGGACGGCATCCCTAACCAGGCCTTGCGGGAGATCAAGGCTCTGCAGGAGATCGGGGACAATCAGTATGTGAGTGAGACTGGGGTTCTGAGAAGGCACCTTGGCTTGCCCTCCTCCACTCACTCCCACTCTGGGTGCCCACACCCACTTTGCTCGCTCATATGCTTTCCAGCCCCTCACTTATTCCCTTTCTTGTGTACTTATCCAACCAATTATTTCATTCCTTATTCATTCACTCTCTTGTTCACCCACTTATTTCTTCCTGTGCTCATTCATTCACTAACATGCCTTTTTGTCAAAACATTTAGTGATTTCTAATGGTAATGATAACTGCCACCTCTTAAGCTCCTGTTATGTTCTGTAGGTTGGGTTACTGCTTTACCTACATTGTGCTTCTGAGTTTTCTCTGCTGCTCTGCAAGGGAGGTGTCAGGATTTCCCTCATGTCAAGGGCGAAGGCTTGGCCACTATCCATCAGATGCTTAGCTTGTCCGTAGAGGCTTTGGCCCAGGTCTGATTGAGGAGTCTGGACGTTTTAACTGTGGGGTCTCCTCTAGGCCCTACCCTGTGCTGGGCACTGGCAGCATGGAGAAAAACTGGTCCTCACCTAGTTCTTGAGAACTTAAGTGATGTAAGGGAGCTTGACAGAAGCTACAGAGCCAGCTGGTATGATGATTTGTGCTGTAACAGAACTGGGAGGATCTGTGGGCACGTAAAAGGGGACACCTAATAACCCAGCCTTACTCTATTCATGGCTGTCTTTTGTCCATGTCAGGAGTGGAAAATATGCTCAACTTCCTGAGGAGTGACAAAGACGGGTCAACCTTGGGTGGCGATACTCTGATTTTGTTCCTCAATCTCTGGAGATATCCATGATATGTTGTGTGAAAAGGGCCTGCTATAAAGCTGTTTTTTCATCCTGGTTTTGTATGAAAATATATGTATATGTGAACATGTCTGTATCATATCTGTTGTGAAATCTGGGGGAATAGACTCTAAGGTTGTCTAGGTGGTAGGATTTTTCTTTTGTTGGTTTTTACAAAACAATTTTGTGCATTACCTGAATATATGTGTGCATTTTGATCTGTAAAATAATTGTGTACAAGCCTCAAAATCAGAAAAACAATTAAGGCCATTCTCATTTTTTAAGGAAAGTAAAAGGGCTTGCTGACAGCTTGTGTGTGGCAGAGGTGGAGGGCCCATAAGGAGGCTGACGAGGTCCTGCATTCTGTGAATCTGCAGGCCTGAGGTTCTATCTTTAAATCATTCCAGATTTCACCCTGGTCCACGCCATTGTCCCCTTTTACCAGAACAACTATAGCACCCTCCCCATTGCTACCCTTGTCTCATAGTTAAAAAATGTAGATGAAGTTATTCATTCCCAGTGGCTTGTTTTCCCACTGACAGCATTGTCACCTTTTGCTTATGCCCAACTCCATCCTCTCTTTCATTCATTCAATACAATTTAAGTGTCTCTCCCATGACAGTGATAAACACTGTCTAGGCTCTGGGAGTGCAGAACAGAGCAGATAGCCTTTCTCTAAATGACCCCACATGCACATGACCCTCCCTCCAGCCTCCTTACTGTTTTTGCCCCAGGTTTTGTGTTTGCTGTCCTCCTGCCCAGAACTCCTTTCCAGCTTCCTGCATAACCACTCCCACCCCATCCTTTCTCTTCTGTTCTCATTAGAACCCGGGCATACCCTGTAGATTTGTTTAATCATTTGCTCTTTGGTTCCAAGCTCAGATCTCATGTCACCTCCTCCGTCTTGTCCTCTTCCCGGACAAGGGATGGGGGTCCCAGAGAGAGTCTGGGCCATGTGAGCCTGGGGGCTGACAGGATGCCCTGCTTGCAGGTGGTGCAGCTGAAGGCTGTATTCCCACATGGGGCAGGCTTTGTGCTGGCCTTTGAGTTCATGCTGTCAGATCTGGCTGAGGTGGTACGCCACACCCAGAGGCCACTTGCCCAGGCACAAGTCAAGAGCTACCTGCAGATGCTGCTTAAAGGTGTCTCCTTCTGCCATGCCAACAACATTGTGCATCGGGTTAGTCCCAGCATGGGATGGAGTAGGACCTGAGGACCATCTGGGCTGGGAGTGGGCCAGCCCTTGAAGAAGACATGGCCGGTGGGGGGTGAAGAGGGTGGGGCCTAAAGTAAGCTGCCAGGGCGTGAGGTCCTGCGGGGGATGGGGGTCTGGGCTGAGCCCCTAAGGTCTTTTGGGAACACTAGAGAGCTAACGCCTCCTTTGGTGCTCTCAGGACCTGAAACCGGCTAACCTGCTCATCAGCTCCTCAGGCCAGCTGAAGATAGCGGATTTTGGCTTGGCCCGGGTCTTCTCCCCTGATGGCAGCCGCCTCTACACACACCAGGTGGCCACCAGGTATGAAGGTCCTCTTCCCAGGCAGGACCTAGCAATAGACAGGCCCTAACCCTCCCGCTGTGGAAAAGATAATTCTGGACCTTTCCAGACATTGCTCATGAGGCTGATATGGGGGCAGGGTGACCTTCTGGGGCAACCTCCTATCAGATTGGTTACTTAGCTGTGATCACCCGCCTTCCTTTCATAGGTGGTATCGAGCCCCCGAGCTTCTGTATGGTGCGCGCCAGTATGACCAGGGGGTCGACCTGTGGTGAGACTCCTGTGGGCTGGGCATGGGGGGAATGTGGGTCATGGAGCCACCTTTTCCTCCTGGGCATTGGGATCTCTAAGCTGTTTAGGGATGTTTTTCTGCCTTGAGCTCTAGGTTGCCTTGGGCATCTTCCCCAGTTAGGGTATCTCTGAGGAGTTTGGGATCAGTGTTCTCCAGGACATTTTTGAACTGGGTTGGGGTTGGGTGTGATCAGAGTGGTCCTCCCAGCGGGAAGCTTATGGGTTGCGGGGGGAGGTGATCTGAGGTGTGGAGCATCTAGCTACTATAACCCAGGATGTAACGTCCCTGAGCTATCCAGAGGCCTGGGTCTTTGGATATGAGCGTTCTGAGCCTTTATTTGGGATAGGATGGTTTGAACATACCTAAGAATTTGAGATTTGGGGACTGTTTTGGAGGTCTGCCTGAGAATGTGAGGAGGTAGCTGTGTGTACTGGATTGTGAAGTTCTGAGAAGTCGCAGAACTGTTGAATGGTTGTGTGTTTCAGAGCAGAGGCCTGAAACATGCTAGGAAAGGGGGATATGCTTTGTTCTAGGCTTGAAGTCTTTGATTGTTTGCAGGGGAGGGTCTGTATTTCTGGCTATGAACCCTTTAGAGCCCAGGGGTGTCCAACATTTTGGCACCTGTGGGCTACACTGGAAGAAGAATTGTATTGGGCCATGCGTTAAATACATGGTAACACATAATCACACAAAGAAAATCTCATAATGTTTTAAGTAAATTTATGATTTTGTGTTGGGCCACATTTATAGCCATCCTAGGACACATGCAGTCCACGGGTCTCAGGTTGGACGCCTCTGCTAGGCTACTTTGTGGGTGCATTGACCCCCATGTGAGGGGTTGGTGCTGGTGTGAGGAGGTCTGTCCATGGTGGGAAGTGATGAAACTGCTATAAGTAGACCTGTATTTATGATGTGAGATGATGGAATTGGTGTGGGGAGATCCATGTCCTTTGAGATGATGGAGCTGCTGTGGGGAGATCTGTCTCTGTGGTGAGCCTGTGAGCTGTTTGCATTTTCTATCTGCAGGGCCGTGGGCTGCATTCTGGGGGAGCTGTTGAATGGGTCCCCACTTTTCCCGGGGGAGAATGACATCGAACAGCTATGCTGTGTACTTCGCATCTTGGGCACCCCTAGCCCCCAAGTCTGGCCGGTTTGCAGGGGCCCTTGGTGGGGAGGGGTTCAGGGAGGTGTCTTCCATTTTCCCCAAAAGGTGGCGACTCCCCTCTCCTGTACTTTATTGTGGCCCCATGCCCCCCTGAAATCCCAGACCACTGTCCTGGGGGCTCCTCCCTCTCTTCTGTGCTGAGGGCAGGAGGGCAAGGTCTGTCCACTGGCCCTTCCTGCCTGATCCTAGCACACTGCAGTTGTCACCAAGCTGGAGGTGGAGCAGGTGTCTAACAGGGTGGGGGCATGAAGGACTGATGGACTCACACTGAGTGAGTGTGTGAAGACATGAGTGGTAGGGTGAGAGCAGGGCACATGGATGGGGCAGTAGCCAGGATGCCTGAGCAGGTGGGTGACAGGGAGTGAGGACTGATGATGGGGAGCTGGCCGGCAGTGCTGGCCCTGAGGTACCCTTTTCTCCTCAGGAAATCACGGAGCTGCCCGACTACAACAAGATCTCCTTCAAGGAGCAGGCACCTGTGCCCTTGGGGGAGGTGCTGCCAGATGCCTCTCCTCAGGCCTTGGACCTTCTGGGGCAGTTCCTTCTCTATCCTCCATACCAGCGCATTGCAGCCTCCCAGGTACTATGACCCCCTTTGTCCTGATTCTCTTCACTGATGCTCACATGACCTAGAAGGTCAGGGTCCCTTAGAACATGTGATGGGAGTTTCTGAGCCACTATGCTTCTCCTGAACAGACTCCAGAGAGGCTGTGGGTTGGAAGGGTGGTCCATTAGAAGGGCGTGCCCACCTCATAGAAGTGCACATCCCAGTTACTGGTGACTTGCTCCTTCATCTCTTCATTCCTTCAGCAAATATTTACTCAGCATCAGCACATGCCAGCCACTGTCCTGGGCCCTGGCCCAGAGTAGAAAAGCAGTCATGGCCCTGTCCCTGTGGGGGCTCTACCCTGAGGTGAGACAGGACATCCAAGCTGTGGGAGTGGGAAGCTTCCTGGAGGAGGACTGGTTTAGGCACAGAAGGTGTTTCCCCAAGAGATGATGAACAGAGGCCTGGGAAGAGGACCTAGGAGGATGGCCTGTGGCAAGGATGCAGGGAAAGTAGAGAGGACCATGGGTCGATTGCTTCAAGGTCTGTGTCAGGGGCACCACTCTCCCCTACCCTTGGCACTAGCAGCATATATGTTAATGCACCTGGTAAGCACCCATGTCTTCAGTGTCCTCAAAGTATACTGAGATCAGCTTACCACTTCTCAGCCTCCTGCTGCTGACCCCACTCTAACCCAACACCTCCTCCCCGCTCTCATTGCTTCCCAGTCCGCTTCTCCTACCCACTCAGTGTCTCCTCCCACCTGGCAGAGAGCTGTCACTTCTGTGACCCTGCCTGTTCCTGTCCCCATCAGTCACCCCCCTCTATGTTCTGGGGTTGATGCACTTCTGTTCCCTGTGCTTCACTCACTTACCTCTCTTGTCTCTGCTCAAGTGCCACCTCCCAGGGGGGCTCCTTTTACCACTTCAGGCCTGCTTGCTGCTTTTCTAGCACTAGTCGGCAGATGCACTGACTCTTCTTCATCATGTTTGTTGTCCTCCACCCCCTACTACATGGAATGTTCTGTGCACTGCTGCACCCACAGACTTTCAGCAGTGCTCAGTCAGCACTCAGAGATGTAAGTCTCCTGAGTAGATGAGCAGATTAAGGAATGGCCTTTGCAGGGCAGCAGTTGGTCTCCCCCTAGAGAAGTGAGCTTAGGCTGGAATGGGGAAATGATTGGTTTCTTTATGCTATTCCTTGCTTACTACCCCCAGGCCCTCCTGCACCAGTACTTCTTCACAGCTCCCCTGCCTGCCCACCCTTCGGAGCTGCCAATTCCCCAGCGCCCAGGGGGACTGGCCCCCAAAGCCCATCTGGGGCCTCCCAACGTCCACAACTTCCACACGGACCGCCCCCTTGAGGAGTTGCTGTTGAACCCAGAGCTGATTCAGCCCTTCATCCCAGAGGGCTGAGATGCAGAGCCAGGCCCCACTGGCCTGTGTTCCCGGGCCATGCTCCAACCTGCCTCCATCTCCCATGGCCACACTATGACCACACTGAGCTCACTCCATAGCTGGTCCTGCTCCAGCCAGGTGAAGAGGATGTCCAGCCCCAGTAGAGAAGGAGACCTATGGCTGTGCTCTTGGCCTCCGTGTGCTGCTGACTTACCCATCAGAAAGAGACAGTGAGCCCTCTACCACGCCGCCATGGTACTGCTTCTCCAGGTTCTGCCCTAGTGATCAGGGATGGTCCTAGGAGAGCCATCTGCAGGAATACAGAGTAAGATGTCCTCAATTCCAAAACCCAAGTGGGAAAGGAGGTTTGGTTTGCTTTTGTTCTTAGAGATATTAAACACCAGTTCAGTTTTCAAATTTATTATTAAAAAAAAACAACCCACGTAGTTCTGCCTGGGTTCTGCTCCTCTTCCATTCCTTTCAAGGGAAGTGGCTGAGGTGGTATTATCTCACTTCTCTATGGCCACTGGGAAAATTGCCTTGTAGAGGCTTTGTAGGGGCCTTCTATGACGGAGCTCCCACTTGGAGGTGAGGTGGTTGAAGTCAAGGCCAGGGATAGCTCAGGTTGTGAACCAAATACCTTAATCTGGTTTACAAACATCTCCGCCATTTGGAGAAAGGTGAACTAGGACCAGATGTGCCATCTTCTTACTAAGAGACATCAAATAAATAAAGACACAGACATTCCTGAAATTCATTTGTTAATTCAGTAAATACCAATACAATTCCATCTGGCTCCTGTTTTTCTTATTTTATAATTTAATAGGACAGTTGTAAACTACATGGAAATGAACGGGTTGAGAGGAGGAGGCAGAAACAGAAGAGAAGAAAAATGATGAAAGGACTTAACTTTTAGATACTAAGACTTGTCATAGGGCTGTAATAATGAGACAGTGGTGTTGGTTCAGGGATAGATAAAGACACACTAGAAGAATCCTTAGTAATCTTTTATTCTTAAAATAGTTATTCTTTGCTCCATGTGAATAAACTTCTGTAAGCACTGAGGACAGAGGTGGCTAACACTGCCATAGTCATTGCTTTTAGAAGGAATACAAAGCAAAATATACCTCAGTTCCTTTCAGGGAAAAGTCTGATAGTCTCATATGTGGTTTTGTGTGGGGGGGGGGGCGGGGGGGGTTGTATTTATTTTTATAGAGAAGGGAAGGGACAGAGAGAGAGAGAAACATCAATGTGTGGTTGCCTCTTGGGAGCCCGCAACTGGGTACCAGGCCCACAACTCGGGCATGTGCCCTGAGTGGGAATCAAACTGATAACCCTTTGGTTCACAGGCCAGCACTCAATCCACTGAGCCACACCACCCAGGACTGTCTCATAGGTCTTTAAAGATGTTTTTGGGATTTGGACTCTGCCTGTTTTCTAGCCATATCTGTGGACTCTTAAGTTCAATATCTGGTAGCTCTCCTCTGCATATAAATGGGAGCTTATACCCATACCCTTGATCATTGACCCTGACCCTCAAACTCATACCCACTTGACCTAGAATTTAACCTTATCCATGAAGTTGGCCATCACCTTCACCTTAACACTGACCCTTTAGTTGACATTCATACTTTGATGTTCATCATGACCGTGATCCTTATGCTGACCGTTAACATGGCTATCATACTTACCCTGACCATCACTTACCCTTGATAATGACAATGTGTCACACTGGTCATTCTCAGAATGCTATAATGAATGAGACTTTCATCACCCTCGTTCTGATTCTGACCCTCATCTTAACTCTACCTCTAGACTAAATCCTTACCTTAACAAGACCCATCCTGACCCTGGATTAGAGCTTGACCTTGAGCTATACCACACATGCAAGTTGAAATTACTCTGCACTTAACCTTACCACCACCCTGATCCTGATGCTGACCTTGATCTGGACCTCAGTTCTTAAAATAGGCCACCCTGACCTTGATTCTCATCCTAACACTGACGATGCAGAACCTAGCTAGACTCAACTGGCTGTTGTCATTGACTCACCCTAATCCCATCATGACCTTGAACCTGGATCCTGAAGTTAAGCTTAAACTGTCATTGACCATCATTATGGTGACCCTAATTCTGAGCCTGATCCTTATTCATTGCCCACATCTTGACCCATCTTTGACCTTGAACCTGACCTTGACTGTACCCTCTCTGGTGAATATAATTATACCCACCCCCAAACACATCCATGTTCTATGAATATGTTGCCTTACATAGCAAAAAGGGAGTTTGTAGGTGTGATTAAGGGTACAGACCTTGAGATGAAAAGAGTATCCTGGATTATCCCAGTGAGTATATGTATGAGAGAAAGAAGTAGAGGGGAGTGAGGTGTTTTTCTTTTAAGATTATTTTTAGGAAGAGGGGAAAGGAAGAAGAAAGAAAAATTAGTGTGAGAAACATTCCATTGCTGCTTGTACACCCCCAATTGGGGACCCAACCCACAATCCGGACATATTCCCTGACCAGGAATTGAACCGACGACCTTTTGCTTTGCTGGATGACACCCAGTCAACTGAGCTACACCAGTTAGTGCAAGGTGGGAGGTGTTAATTATTTCCAGCAGCAATAGAAAAGGAACCCTACCTTGATTTACTTGACCTTGAGAATGAACATCATGTGCACACTGAACTGACTTGAACATTACACTGACCCTAATCCTGAACATCAACCACACCCTGACCTTGCCCCTGAATCCTACACAGAATTAGACATTCATTGTCAACCTGACAATCTTACCTCACCCTCATCTTCTTCCCTTCACTGATTCTCTAATGGATCCTTAACCTGACCTTGATCCTGACCTTGATTGACTCACAATGATCTTGAACTTGATCTTGAACGTAACCCTGGTTCTACAATTTCCCTTACACTGATTTTTACCTTGAACCCAACTCTGGCACCATGATACTGACCTCTCATCCAAACCCTTAACCTGATACAGGATTTTATCCTGAACTAGAATTTCCACCCTCACAATGATTTTGACCCTTATCACTCTGTCCCTGGCCTTACTTTTATCCTGACTATAACTCTCTGGCCATGAACTTGATCACGATCTGAAATAGACCAGGGCCAGGACCAAGTCCAGAGTGAGGTTCAGGTTCAGGGCCCAAGGTTAGGGTGAGGACCAGGTTAGGGGTCATGGTGAGAAAGGCACCAGGTTTAGTTAGGGCCAAGGTCTGGCAAGTGCCACCAGTGTAAAAGGGAGGCTGAGGGTCATTGTGAAGGTGAGGGTCAGGGCCAGGATGAAATTCAGGGTGAGGGTGAATGTCAGGATCGGGGTTAGGTGAAGGTAGGAACAAGGGTAGGGGTGGAAGATGCTAGCAAGGACTAAGTTGATTGGGCCAAGGTTAAGGAAGGTCAGGGTCAGGATAAGGGCAAATGGCAGGTCCAGGGTAAGGATGAAGGAAGGCCATGTATAAACCCAGTGAGAGATCCAAGTCAAAGACCAGGTTTAAAGGGAAAGGTTGAGGTCAAGATGGAAGACTGGGCACATAGGCAAGGGTGAAGCCAAGGGGCGGGGCCAGCACTGGGGCAAGAGCTGTGGGGGTACCCAGGTTCAGGTACACTGTAACGCCCACTGTGAAGGGCAGTGCAAAGGCGAAAGTCCGGGCGAGTGCGAACGTCAGTGGAAAGGAATGGGCGAAGGCCTGGGGGAGTGTCAGGATATGGGTAAGGGCAAAGGCGACATCCCAGGGTGAGCGCAGAGGAAAATCCAAGGCCTGAGATAAGCGGAGCTAGTGGGTTATAGGATGGGGTCGAAGAGCGGCCAAATGGGCGGGGATTGGCGTAACCAAGCGGAAGCGTGGCAAACAGGGCGGGTTTTTCCAGCAGGGTGAACAGGGTGAAAGCACAGCAAAGCACGGAAAAGGCGTGGCTGAGCTGGAACGGCGGATTATCAGTGACCGCTTATCTTTTCCTTCCTGGAAACCCGAAACCTGCACTGTACCGTCCTGCTCCGTAGCAGGCCCCGGCGGGGAGGCAGGGCTGGGGGACATGGTCACTGAGTACCCAAGGTTTGCCCTCTTATCTGGGATGGGGTTTTCGGCGGGCTTGAATCCGTGACCGGCAGAGGGCGCTTGTGGCCTTCAAGGTGGTGACTTCCGCGGCCTCAGGAGGGCTATCTCTGAAAATTCCCGGTCCCCTTGGCGTCCAGAGCGCCCGCCAGTCCCTTGCAACAATATGCACACATCAGCCTTCACTTCTGAGATTAGTTTAGGGATCAGTTTTCTTTCCCATTTCTGTTTTTACCTGGGGGGAGGGAGGGGGTCAGCCTGGAAAGCCACGCCCCTAGCTCTTCCCTTAGGTGGTGACCTCCTGTTTCTTCTCAGTGGGCAGCACCATCCTGGCTATGCTTAGTTCCTATTGAATGCGTTAGTCTCATCTGGGCTTCATGGCTTGTTACACGTGCACTCAGCTCTTCTTTCGTGGGACTCAGCACAACTATAACTTGTTTGTAGGGCGTATTTATTTAGTGGCTGCTTTTCCTCATTACTTATTCCTAAGGACAGGGATTTTGTCTTCAAAATCCCTGTCCTTAGGAATATCAGTGTGTCACTAGCACCCACGGTATGGCTTGACATATAGTGTATTCTCAGAATTTGTTGAGTAAAAGAGTATCTTTTAAAATAATTTATTATATTATTTTTTTAACATTTATTTTTTAAAAGATTTGTCCATTTATTTTCAGAGAGAGGAAGGGAGGAAGACAGGGAGGGCAACATCCACGCGCGAGAGAAACACTGATTGGCTGCCTCCAACCCGGGACCAGTCAGCAACCAAGGCATGCACCGAGATCCAAAATCGAATCCTGAACCCAGCTCACAAGCTGGTGCTCATCCCACTGAGAACACCAGCCAGAGTTATTATGTTATTTTTAAGAAAAAGATTGACAAACAGATCATTACCTGAGTTCTGTAATTATAATTTTAAGTGTCTCAAGTAAAATACTGGGTTTTCATCTCTATTTTTAACACTAAGGAAAGTATCTAAGCAAATGCATTGTCCAAGGTCACCCAATGTGGTCCTGCACTTGGAAGGAATTGGATCCCTGGCAGGGGGATAGCCCAGATGCAAAGTTTGAAAGAGATATGCCTTATACCTTTTCATAGGTCCTGGTTCCTTCTTAGGTAAGATAAGTTCAATAATCCCTGCCTCAGGGTGTATGGTTAAAGGTGAGGAACTAATAGATCCTAAAAGGTGGGTAGGATTTATTTTGCAGGTTATATTACATATTATAATTCTATGTGGGAAATAAGATCTCAGTTGTGTTTTGAACTGGGACTATAGAGATGGGAAATGAATAAATTTTCTTGGCTGGTTTGATTTTGCAAAATATAAATATTACATTCCTAACAGCCAAAAAAGACTTAAAAATTTTGTTTATTGATTTTAGAGGAGGGAGAAGGGGGAGAGAGAGAGAGACATTGATTTGTTGTTCTACTTATATATGTTTCCATTGGTTGATTCTTGTATGTGCCCTGACTGGGGATCAAACCTGCAACCTTGGGACAACACTCCAACCAACTGACCTACCTGGCCAGGGCCCAAAAAGACTTTTAAGGGCTGAGAAACTTTGATCTATGTGAGTGAGGTCTATGGAAATAGGAGTCTGGGCTCAGATGAGGTCATTGTGTCTGCCAGGGCCTGGGAAGCCACATTTCTGGGATAGGACCCTCAGTGGAACTGGGATCCAGAAATCTCTAGAGTGATTTCCAGTGAAGCTGTGTAG